GGTCAAACTGAACCCCCTCCCCCTCCCACCCGAGCGAAGGGTATCTAGCCGACCACCCGGGCGAGTGTTAAGTTTACAGTAAATGTTTTGACAAAATCACGCGTTAAATGACTGCATGACATAAATGGCCGACACTCTTCATTTTAAAACGCCCAGTGGATTCTTTTTAAATCGAGAGAGCTCAGAAACTTTGTCAGAGTTGTATATGGGTTGTATAGAAATAGCAAGGATTCCGCGAATGCAGATTGAAGATCAAAATGCGTCAACAATTTGTATTAACATAACCAGGCCATGCTTGTCTGGATATCTTCAACATTCAGTCAGAATTTATCAGAGGTGCAACTTATGTAACGTAGTTTTGCGTATAGGCGTAGGAACTTTTCAAAAAGTGGGGGGGGGGGTAGGCTCCGGGCTTACCTCAGGAACTTTTCTGGAATGCAAGCTCGGTGACCGCGGCGGGGGACGGGGGGGTAGAGATAGAGGTTAGTGGCGCTCTTTATTCAAATGACATGGCTGCTTTGCTAGATATCCATTCTAGAGCTGTTTCTCACTGGTGCGCAATCTTGCCTATTTGACTCATATATGTCATTCGGTAAATAATATGGCTATACAGCTTCCCAAGATTATTCGGCTACTTTAATACTGTCATTCCTGTGGACGCGAAGTTCCACGAGCGGGTAGGTATTTTGGGTCATTGAGGCTGCATATGCATTCACAGGATAGATGCCAAAATATTAGACATAACGTGGTGAGAATTTTGAGAGTGAAACGATAGCTCACAGTGCGGCAAACTTCTCAGCGCCTTCATTCCGCTGGCTGCTTTTCAAAAGACAAGGCTTGTCGCAGCATTTCAGGAGGAAACAAATTCGGAAGCTTGAAACCGCCAAAAACAATGTGACAAAAGCCATGAACTGGAGATTCTCCTTAAACAACCAAGCCACAGGATGAAGGCTCTTCTGTCATATGTTCCTTGTCTGAGCCATACTGCCGTCCGCCGTCGGCGGCCACTGCCCAGGCCCTGCTGTCTCTCGCATGACCGATTGCAAACTGGTCGTACGGCTGCTTTGTCGTATATTTCTGGATCAGCATTGCTACTTATTGCTGTATAAAGCATGTTCGACGCCTGCAACAGTATCTTTTTCCGAGTTATCTTCCCTTACACCACACCACCCCACAAAAAAAGCCTGCGGGAAGATGCTTGCATTAGGCATGAATTAGCCCAACGGACATTCAACTGTCCGTCATTCAACGTAGACGACTTGATCTGTTTTTGTGTGTAGGCGAGGACGTAGCCAGAGCCATGCTAAGGGGGAGCACACGGTTGACAAAAGTCCCTCCTATGTTGACCCCCCCAAAAAAGCCGGACAAGGCCTACTTGTTACCAAGGGACACAGTTTTCTTTGTTTCATTGTTATCTTTATCTTGCAGCCAGAAAGGAAATCAGAAGCTACTTTGAGATCAATTTTGTTGGTGTTTTAAAGTCAATAAACTGCAGAGACCAGGCGTTGAACGACCGTATGGAATAAATCATCAGTGCCCTTAACCTACAATGGTTTAATGGGCTCTTGACAAACCGAAAGAATTGAGACGCTTTGCCAAAATGCTGTATCTGGGTTCTACGGGCATGAAGGACACCGCGAAGGTCGATTGAAGATCGACATGTTTAATCGAAATTGGAAGATGACAATTTGATTGTAAATCGAGTGGTCAACATCGTGTATTAACATGGCCAGGCCATGCTTGTCCGAAAATGTTTAACATTTAATCAGAATCGATCAGTGATGTAATTTATGTAACGTGATTTCTCAACATGCGCACACACAAATCTTAGCAACGAACACCTCGACGCCGGGCGCTGCAGTCTCCGCAGTTCTCGGGACGTTAGCCCAGTGGATAATTCTTTGCTGTGGTCCACCGGTGGACGACAACGATGACACTTGTAAAAATTACTTTTAAACACTTCAATCCAGATACAACTTATGTGACGTAGCATGCGCGCTCGCAAATCTCAGCAACAAAACCTGGACAATAGACGTTGCTGTCTCCGTAGGCAGCTAATGCTGGGCTGTGACTAACGGATAGACGAAAATGATGAAGCTTCTGAAAAATACACTGCTCCGACTAGGGGCCACTTGCCGCCACAGGACCTCTGTTCGGCACTGTGGCCCCTAACCGACACAGAAACTCCCCATTGTGCCACGAACGCCGAATATTGCAAGTCGCTGACTCCGGCATCGTTTATGCTTGGGAAATGGGTCTCAACGGCTCGGAGGGACATGGGGCCGACTGCGCGGTGTTCGTAGTCTGTGACCAGCCTAGACACCCCCACTGTCTCAGGGATTCCTAAAACAGTGCAAGAGGATCCTTGACTAACATTTCAGGACGACCCTACGGGCCGCTGTCGGTTCCGGTGGGCCGTCCGGGCCCCTCTTCGGGTCTCATCAAATACTTCCCTTGGCCGGCTCGGGGCCCTCGCGGGCACAGGGCCCTCTGTCAAATGCTGTGGGCTCCTGACAGATGGAAGGCCCCCGACCCGTGTAAATCATTGTCCCCGGCTTTATGGCTGATTGGGAAGTGGGTCCTCAGGTCCATACGGACACGGAGACGACTATGTAGTACGATGGTACCTGGCCGACATCTAGGCCTATATCGATTAAGGGGGGGGGGGGATCTGCGATGGCGCAAAGGGCTCTCTGACCGTTATTTGGGGTCCGTCTTCGCAGGTCTGGGCCCCTTAATAAGACTCCGACCAGTCCTTTATGTCCTTAGACACTCCAATCGAACCTTTAACCGTCGGACCGGGTGGGCCCTCTAGGCTCTTTGGGCCTGCTCGAACACTGCCTCTGGCCGACTTGGGACTCCTTGACAACACAAGGCTCCTGTTAGGGGCTCTGGGACCCCGAGCCATGTAAATCGATGACTTCAGCTTTGTTCCTGCTTCGGAAGTGGGGACCTTAGGCCCATGCCGCCACGGAGCCAACTGCGGAGCCAACTGGTATCATCTGACCAAAATGTAGGCCCTTAGCGACTTAGTGGGCCCCTGATCAGTACACAGGGCCCTCTGGCTGGCATTTGAGTGCCCGGGGCCCCTGAATGAGACCTCTGGCCGTTTTTCGGACCCTCAATCGTAGGTTCTGAGGGATCCGACGGGCCCCGGAACGCCAGGGGAGACGCGCCCCCTGTGCCCCCCCCCCCCCTGCCCCGGCCTGGGCTAAGGTGTTCAGTTGAGTGCAGATTACAGCTAGCCACACTTTTAAAGCTCAGCGCTCGTACCATATTAACTCGAGCATTTTATGCTGTCTTGCATGCTGCATGTTTTAACTACGCGATGAACATGTTTCGTTGAACCTAAACTCGTTTGGTGTTACCGTCTGAATGTTTTAGCATCATTCCGCGATGTTTTAGGTTCTGCGGACTTTAGCAAGTTACGGCATTTCACACAAGGTCATATCGAAAACCGTAAACAAACCACGTTTACGTACATGGCGGCATATGGCGACTTCCACGACTCCGGCCCCCTGTCATTTTGAGAAATCGACACCCATGCCAATAGTTACAAGTGAGCTTATTTCATCATATCTGATGTTAGCCTTAATAGCGTCAAATTAGGCACTTTTTTAATGATGTGCTTCTTTTCCTGCCATGTACATTAAATTAACTTATTCAGTCGTTGCGACGCCTTGTGAATGAATCGAAACTTTCCGAGCTAATTGCATATAAACAGACAAGGCGCATAACACAGCTCAGGGGTTTTCGCCTGGCCGTACTGCAGTCAACCCAAATCGGAGCTTGCATCGCGTTCAATGACTTTCACAACTTGCGGACTGTCTACCAGAATACGTAAATAATCACATTCTTCGCGGTAAGTGATCTTGCAAGAAGACAACGTGGAGTAAGTCAGCCATGTCAAGGCCTTATGAATAAGCATAACGGTCAATTTCCCCGAAACTTGTCGAGTCCCAGGATATGGGATATCGAACAGCCTTCTGTTAAAGGTTATGGCGAGGTCAACCTGACCATAAACTGAGTTTGACGGCGACCACAAGTGCCACAATGTCTGGGATCGATAGAGGTGCAGTATGGATTTTTAGTCCCAATAGCTGAGCACAAGCAGCGGACATTAAACAAATGAAGGCTGTCCAAACCAGCTGCCTGAAGTTCAGCCAGACGCCGTAACCCAACAGGCAGCTTCGTTGGTTCCAGCTGCCACAGTAAACACTGCAAATGTCCAGCACGCAGAGTGGCAAGGAACAGTGCTTCAGCTAATCGACTATCCTTTGCAAAGAACGCTGCGAAGCGGTTCGCAAGCCAGTTGAGTTCCTCGGGCTACGCTGCTCATCTGCGGGCGGTCAATAAGACGAACGCCACGGCAGTGGTCGTGTCTGCGCGACGCCGGCGTGGCGCTAGGGTGGGGGCCACCGCTTTGTTTTTCTTCACGCCGAAGCGGCCTGCGCCGTGTGGCTCATTGTCGCCATGGTAAAGCTATTGGCCGGCCGACGACGGCCGGCGTGTTTGTCGCTTTTCGTGCCGCCGTGGCCAGGCTAGCTGTGCATGGTCGATACCCGATGGGTCGACGGACGGAGGCGGCCGGGTGCCGGGCCTGTTCAGCTGACGACGCCCCTGGGATCGCCGCCTTCTGGCCCCCAGACCCCCACCCGCACCCCCTCTGGGCACTGCCCGCCGGTACGGTCCAGGCCGTGTTGCATGGACTTGTGACGTGCTAAGGGCTCGTTGGTGAGGGCGCCAGCTTGTGCGCACCTGTTACGCTACCGATTACAGTACACGGTATGCCGCGTCGCGGCTCGGCATCAGCTTGTCCGCAGTCGCATCATGAAACCGCGTGAAACTAAAGCGAAGGCGTGAACGACGGCGGTACAAAACGCGCGCGGCGGCTCCATTTCTTGCCCCTCCCCCAGGACAGGGCAGGCTGAGTAGCAGATGACTGTCCAATGCTTAAATTTAGTTTGGTGTGCTGGCCAGCGGGGCGGCAGAGTCCTCACGTTTTCGATTTCGAGCTCGTGGGTCTTCAGCAGCAGCTCCAGCAGCTCCTTCTGTTCGTCCGTTGACGTTTTCTCTGGCAGCGCCTGCGACAGGACCGGGTCAACATCAGGCACGCGATCTCACCAGCCATTCCAGCACGTCATTAGCGGGCCGCATATGTAAATACTGTAGTTTGCTGGGCGTTTTTTACGTGCTGTTTTAGATGAGCGTAACGCAATTTGTAGTTAGCAACGTAGTAATGCGGTTAGTAACGTAGTTAACACAAAAGGCATTACCAGTGAAGATACCGGACCTACGGTCGGTACAAGCGGCATTGAGATTTAGGGTGTGAATTCAGCTTTGCTAATAAAACAGCTCAGTTGCTCAAAGATAAGACAACAGTGATAGCCTTATTCATAGACAAAAAACAGAAGGATGAAGACCTACATACATTACTTTTTCGGTAATATGTCTTTACCAAAACCAATACCCGAAGCGAATTCCTTCTGGCTTATCTATGTGCATAACATTCCTCGCAAATGCACTTTACAGCTTACGACCTCAATTGCCAATGAAAACCAAGTAGGGTCATTGACACCTGTGCCGGTAATTTCAATACAGTATCTCCGCAGTCAGCTAGAGAGCATAACCGCGGTGACCGACACTATCGCATACCTCACTATTCACCACATAAGCAGGCTGTGCCACATGGAGGAGATCAGCTCTGTGCAGAGTGCTTGGTAGGTTTGTCACAGGTCATGGACATGTCCTGACCGGCCACCGGACTTGACAAAAATGCACGGGGAGCACCTTATTATAAATAATGCACATGGCCCACCCGTCACTACGGTTACGGGTCTGGCTATCCGCCAGGTGCGCCGCCGTGCCCGGCCGCCAAGGCCTTTGAGCGGGGACCAGCGGTATCGTTTGGGACCTGGTCCCGGTCGCACCTGTCCCCACATCTCACGGGCAGCTACAGGGGTCCACCATCCTCTGGGTCGGCCAGACAGTAGCGGCCGGTGAGTGCTTCTGACAAGCGTGGCGGCATGAGGGTGTCTGCGCCGCCGGGCCTTCCGCCGGGTCACGTCTCAGTGCGGGTGCGACCCCGGTCAGGCCACGCCGCGTCCATGACCGTCGCTGCACGGACACACCTACCTCGCACAGGTAACATATGCAACGTGCCGACCCCCGGGGTCGGGCTAGCAGCGGCCTCAGAGTCTGGGCGTCGCACATCAGGTCAGACGACGTCGGGGAGAGCCGTCGCTCGTGCGAAGTGGCGTGTTCTGATATCAGAATGCCCGCTACGCCGCGAACAGTCGCACAATCGGTGGCGGCGAATACAGTGCGTGATGACGTACACCGATTCCGAACACCTTACAAAAGTCAGATTGTGTCCTGCTCTGCATATCGGATAACCAGTGACATTCACCGCAACTGGCAACCGGCGGCCACTCCGCCAGCAGCCTATAGGTTTTTTCGGTCAACCGCCAAGTGCCAGGGGTTGGCTGACCCGGCAGAGGGGCACCCGGCGCGCGTTCGGTCCGGCGCCACGGCAGCCGCTCAGCTGCTCCGTCAGCACGGCAGCCGGCGGCCGGCCGCTCGGAAAACGTACACAAATAATAGATAAATGGATCATTTGCGTGGCTAATGCGGGTACGACGACGGGGCTTCTTCCACGAAGCCAATCAATACAGCGTCCGGCTGGCCCAATATCGGCTGCAGGACCGCCAAAGGAGTGATTACCTCTTCCGTTGACGGCAAGGACGGAATGAAGGCCATGTACATGTTATCAATAAATTAGGCGTCTAAGCAAATAATTTGGAGCCTCCAATACTGCATGAGAAATCCGATAACTTTTGCCGCCTCCGTGGTCTTGGGGAAAGATGCTGGACTCGTAATCCAGCGGCACTGGGTACGAGTCCCAGAATGGGCGCATTGTTTGACCCGACTGAAACGGAAAGGCCAGCTGGCAACTGGCCAACGAGGCTCAACCCAGACCCGAGGCGGCCGTGCCGCAGCATTGTGCGGCACGTAAAACCCTCCGCATTCCTGTCCGGCGAAAGGGCGGAGGCAAAATTAGCTGTTGAACTGGACAGCACGCTTGGGTGGCGGGTTCGGGGTACACGCAACAAGCTATGCTTAGCAGGTACTCTGAATCCGAAATCACCCATACAAACCATTCGGGATAAATTTATAGAAAAGAAAAACTTAAGCCCATCAGTATGCAGTCATAGGACTTATGAATTGGGCTCACAACACGCGTCCTGATCACAATTTTTTCTACCAACAGCGAAAAGAGAATGCTAATGCCCAGCAGAATTTTTCTGTGGACAAGTCCCCAACAGCTGAACCGTTGCAGCGTGCGCGCTGTCATTGTGCATAACGCTTTTGGGATAAAGCGCCGTAATGGCTGAAGCTTAACTAATCCGTACTCGCCTCCACTGGACCGATGCTTAAGTCACAGCATTGCATGACCTGACTACGTGAAGAGCAATTACTGGCAAAAGTAAAGACACTAAATGAATGCGTCGATTTCATGTCACTTTTTACACGTTGAACTCAATTGCAGTCGACAGGCAAGCCTAGTCCATTTAAGGTACCGATGGAACCGGACACCAATGCAACGTCATGCTATGTAGCCTAGAATGTTAACTGGTGGGAGAAATCCCCGTCAGTGACCGTCTACACCCCAAGTAAACAGCGAAATTCCACCCTCCCCACAAGTCAAAACGCTGCGAGGTCAGTAGATTAGGTCCGCTCAGGCGCTTCAAACGCTTCAGGCAGACTGTGATGAGCACATCTCTGTCGTGAGGCAGCTATTCGTAAACAAGGGAAGAAAAACAAAAATTAGCGCACATTTGTTTTCAAATGTCAGACACCTCTGGAATGCCGTCCGGGCAAATGGCATTGGTGCACATCGGAGAAAATATCAGGCCAGGCATATCACCAATAAGTGCTGTGCATGCCTGTGATGATTATGCTGAATCTCATTCTAATTAGCTCAAGTTCAGGAATTGCTTCAGTTGCAAGCGAGATAAAATGGACCACTTAGAATAAGGTTAACCGGTTAAATTACGCGACGCGTTGAATCCGGTGCTGAATCGCTCAGAAAACATCTGTCGGTGCCTTGACGGCAAAATGGAACCATTCGACGCGCCGTACTGGGTTTGCCGGGTGGAAACACTTTTGGACCATGTGGATCAGGAACGTCATGGGCGACCAGAGTTCACCAACACTGCTCATTTTTTGGCTGCCAAAGTGACAAAAACACCTTAGTCATCTTTGAGACAACTTTGAGTTTTGTTCATGCATGTGACATGGTGTTGATCACCTACACGTCCCGTACTTGATTGCCTCTGGTACAATGGCTTCGTCCTTTTCAGCGCATCGGGAACACAAAATGACCATAATTGGGGCTTGAGTGCACTTGCGCATAGAAAGCAACACCAATTCAGTTCATACCAAACTGTTAAATGAGCGCAAGGTCAAAAATGCCTAACATACCACAGTGAGCCCGTCATTCCACATAGTTCGGAGCATTTATCGACAGCGCTTACCTCCTCCATCTTGCTGGCCTTGGTTCTTAGGTCTATCATATCGATTTCTGCATTTTTGCGCATTTCCTGGTACCTGCAAGCATTTTAACGATGTGATTTGCTCCGCGGAAACTTGTCGACGACGGAAACCCGATATCCCGTAAGTGTCTGCATATGACGGGAAAGAGAAAACGCACGCTCGAAGACCACAGACAGGGAGAAAACCAGGCGAGTGTTGTTCAGACTAATAAACGGTTATGTTTTCTAAAGGGGCTATCATCGTTGGCGTATCAACGTTGAATATAGGTGGTGTATATGACAAGAGTTTGAATGGGATGGCGCAGTCCGCCGCCAGCAAATCGCTCGTCAGTAACGCGGAGGCGGCCGCGTCGCTTACCTCTGCTCTTCTTCCTGAATGTAGCGCAGGTCGTCCCAAGCTTGACAATATCGTCATGGCTCGGCGTCGTCCTCGTCCGAGGCACCCGCTGCGGGATGGGCAGATGTCATCGACGCTGATATCGGTGTCATGGGGAAAGACACACTGAATAACGGTGCATCATTGACACGATCACGGCCGCTCCCCAAGCGCGTGACGCCAGTATGGAACATAGACTTATGTGTCGAATGAGAAAATACCTAATGGTCCCCTAAACACCATTTTTTAACATCAGTGGGCGAAGCTTATGCAGGGCTGTTAAAATAGTCCTATCTAGTGAGTGCATCTTCGGAAAGAACAACAAAAATGCGACGGTAAAGGTTATCTTGCTCTCATCTGTCTCAACCATTCGCTATCAAAAAATGAAGCACTTTCCGTGACGAGCACCTCCTGGGCGCCTGGTGTTGCGACAATAACTTTTGTTGTCTCACGAACTAAGTATACGAGGACAATACGGAGGCGATGCGAAATGCCCCTAGATCACTTTCTCAGATGGGAGCTAGCAGATACCAACAGTTGTGACTTGTGTCACATCGCATCAGGTGAAAGAGGTAAAGGCTACTGAATTGTCCAGAACGACTATATCAAAGACTAAAGAAGGCACGTCAGTGGGGAAAAATTGTCCAGAAAAACAGTATCAAGGACTAAAAAAGGACACCAGTGTGAAAACGGCGTTAGAAAGCCTGTCGAGGCTGCAGGATTTGTGTCACTGATTTTGTACATGCCGTCATCCTAAAAATGTCAAATTTAGTCACTAAGGTTTGGACTAACTTCATCTTGACCTCAGCCTGCTTTTGTAAAAGCATCTAAAACTATATTAATGTGTTTCGAAATGATTGAGTAATGAAGAACAGTCTTGAAGCCCTTTTAAAGTGCATTTACAGTGATAAAGAAACTTCATTTGTCACTTTTGAGTAAAACGTCACCGATGTGACCTTGAGGTGATGGGTCACGAGCTCTCTAAGTCAAAAGCTTCGGAGCGTCACAAATATAGAAGAGGTGCAGATTCAACCAGCCAACATTACAGCACCGTGCTTAAAACTGCTCAGAAGTTGTGCCATAAATCGTAGAAGGTATTAGACCCCTCCCAAGAAGTGAGCAACACGAGTTTTGACACCAATAGGAGCAAGAAACAACCGAAGAAATCAGATTTACAAAACAAATGAAATGTAAGGACTATGTCTGATCGTCCCTTGCACATCTTTGCACGTGGCTTACGACAAGAAATCACGACGTTGCATTTCACACAAAAGGGAGCGACGGTGACGCTTACAAAAGTCATCACCCCTCCATTGTCGCCATTTTAGCAGCCCAACCGGACTGCGTCCCCCTGCCGATGGTTCCGTCCAGCCCGCGCGCCTGCCGCCCGTGCTGCCCTGACCTCCGTCGGCACTGTCGGCTTCCCCGGCGCCGTCCGAGCCAGCCCGGCCGGTCCGCTTGCTCTGCAGGGCCCGCTCTTGCTCGTACTCGTTGATGAGCGCCGTCTGCTTCTCGAACTCCATTGCCAGCCAGAGGAGCACGTTGTCGATCTCGATCATCTGGTGCCTGTCACGGCGACGGAGCGGCTGTTCAGATGGCCCCAGGCGGTGAGAGGATCCGGAGGAGGGTAAGGGTCGGAGGTCAGGGTGAGAGGGTGGGACCGCGGTCAAGGATGGGCCCATGGGCAAAGTTCACGGATAAAGTTCACCGCATAGGGTCACGGCCAGATTTTGAGGGTAGATGTTATGTTTAGAGATCACGGAAGAGATCGTGGAGAAGTTAAGGAAAAGATCGAGGAGGTGCAGAGGTGCAGAGGTGCATCTGACTGTGGCACAGAGAGAGGGAGAGGGAGAGAGAGAGAGAGAGAGAGAGAGAGAGAGAGAGAGAGAGAGAGAGAGAGAGAGAGAGAGAGAGAGAGAGAGAGAGAGAGAGAGAGAGAGAGAAGAGAGAGAGAGAGAGAGAGAGAGAGAGAGAGAGAGAGAGAGAGAGAGAGAGAGAACTGAGGTGCAGAGAGGCATCTGACTGTGGCAGAGGGGGAGTTGATATGCAGAGGTATATCTGACTGAGATCAGGAAAAAAAGCCGAAAGCTGAATCAGTGAGTGGATGCAATGCGCTCTGCCAGGATGTACAGCGTAAAACGATATAATCAGCAAAAGGTTTGCTAACAGAAGGCAGACGAAAGCCTCTTTTTAGAGGTTTGTTTGGGTCTCTTGTGTCCATTGCGTGTTGTATATCTTGGCGGTTGGAGATAACTTAAAAGTAATCTAAAACCGATTTTCTAGTTTTTATGGTGTCATTTCAGTGACAAGACGCGGAGCGGTGCTGGCGATCTAGTTTTGATTCGCCTAAAAGGTGTCAATTGGATTTATGGAGGCTGGAATCTTGCTCAGAAATGGAGCCAATTCTCAATTAAATGTCCAGTGACAGCTATTATGCCGTGCATATGCTGCGTTTCGAAGCCATTGGTAAGCTACGGGCTTCATTGAAACCGTTGAATGTCCTGCAAAAGAGGCGGGTAGTGGCGAGACGGGGGCCCCGGTTACCTGCTCAGCCGGCGATGAGTGTTGCTAGCCCTCCTAGTGTTACCTGAGCTCCATTTGCTCTCTGAAGAGGTTGACGAGCTGCTTGCGCAACAGTCGGAGTTCCTCCTCCTGTTCCTTGCTCCTGGGCTGTGAGGTGGGGTCGGGCTCCGGCTCCTCCTCCTGCCCGGTCATGATCTGACTCAGCCACACCGCCTGACACCCCGCCAGTCACCACCACACCTATGTCAGCGACACCGCCTGACACCCCGCCAGTCACCACCACACCCATGTCAGCGACACCGCCTGACACCCCGCCAGTCACCACTATACCTATGTCAGCGACACCGCCTGACATCCCGCCAGTCACCACCACACCTATGTCAGCGACACCGCCTGGCACCTCGCCAGTCACCACCACACCTATGTCAGCGGCGCTGTGATTCAGCGTCGCCACATCCCGCCCACATCCACTCTTCAGTCCGAAGCGCCGCGCCAGCATCACGGGCAGAGAAGACTCCGTGCGGGCCTCTTCCCACGCTGGTTCGGATCGGACAGGCGACTGAGAATGTTCCTAAATTGTCACAAGGTAGCTATGGCGTGCTTATGGCGTCCTTTCGAAATCGGAGGTGACCTCGAATATGGTTGTGATACGTGGCAATTCTTACAGTTTGATCGAGTTCCGTACCGAGTTCCATTCAGTACCGTACCGCACCAGGAGAACACTTCGAACGATTTGGCGCACCGCGACACTGGCGGCATTCACGGCATGCCGTCGCATAGTCACTCTGTCGCTTCTCGCACCGCGACACTGGCGGCATTCACGGCATGCCGTCGCGTAGTCACTCTGTCGCTTCTCGCACCGCGACACTGGCGGCATTCACGGCATGCCGTCGCATAGTCACTCTGTCGCTTCTTGACTTTGTATTGAGATCTCGCAATGTTGTATCGCCACCTGCGTTGCCTTCTCTGTGTCGATTTATCACCGATGGGTCCCGACAGCCATGGTGCGGGACGTAGTATGCCTCACAAGCGGCTCACCACCTCCGTATGGTGAGGTGGGGACGGCTCAGCATATGTCAGCTATGCGCGTTACAGATTTTGCAGCGGTGATTTCGTCAGAACTGTACACCAAAATATGGTTATGCATTTAGAGCGAAATCCCGATTACCCGCTGATTCTGTTCTGGCTAGAAATAACCCATTTTCAGAAATTTTGCATGACTTCCATCACTGGAAAAACCATTTCTACCCAGGTATATATATATATATATATATATATATATATATATATAAACCGGCAAATATGGCTTACATTCTTGCATCAAACGCCTGCAGAACATCATCACGCTCACAACAATGTGAAAAGGCTCTGAGTGACAAATATTTTGACGTGGAGAAAAGTACACAAGTTCACCTGAACGGTGATTTTGTTCTTCAGTCGGCCGATTTCGTTCTTGAGGTCCGCTATGATGTTTTGGTACTGCGACACTTGGTGGGTCACATCCAGGACATTCCGTTTAACCTGCAACATGGCCATTTGGTAAGTAATGCCCGGAATATGTAATTTAATATGTCACGATAATTGAGCCCTGCAAATGACATCAGTTTAACCAGTAAGCAGATGTGGTCGAACGCTGTTGCGTCAGTCCTTTCTCGATAACCCGAAACTAAAATGCTTCTGACTGCAGTGTTTGAGTGCTGTGAAACATTTAGTTGCATCATTACCACGTCAGATCTCTACGACATCACAGCCAGTTTCTCAGCTCACCTTGTTAGTGATGTTTTTGGCCCTGTCGGCGTACACGAGCGTGTTGAAGGTCTCGTCCCGCTGCGCCATCGCCGGGCTGATGTGGGCGATCATGACGGTCCGACAATTGCCAGACAGCGCGTCCTTTAGCAGCCTGTACACAGACAGGGCGTGACGCCGTCACAGCCAGACTCGGCGGCGGTGATGGCGCGCCAGACTCGACACCTCCGCAATGCGCGGTGCAATGTGACTGTGGTCGAGGATGCCTATCTGTAGAACCAGTGCCCCCCCCCCCCCCTCCCCCATACTTTGCAAGTCATCAAATATTGGAGGTGACGTTTTGGTGTGATTCAGTGTTTAACATTCATAATTGGAAAACAGAGAAAGAGAAAATGACTATATAACAACTATAGCGCTGTATTCATGTACTTTTACCCAAGTTAATGGCGCTGGCTCCAGGATTACCTCCAGCAACAAGCTCCACTTACCTGGGTGGGCTCTCTGGACAGCCATCTCAAAACTCAGCACGAAAATGACCAGTTGATTGCCCCTCTGACTTGTGTGACTGTACAACCCTTACTAGCACTGTGAATGGGCGGTAATAGTTTACTGGGTGGCTATAGCGGCCTGTCATCACCTGACTTTGGCTATAACTACTGTAAGCCTTCTCATGTATTATTTGTCCTTGCCTATTACATAATACAATTCCTGCTGGGTCTGCACCACCTCTTCGCCCGCTTATTTATGTTTGTTTCCTCTTTCTAGCTGGGAGTGCCGCGACTTGATTTTTTGTTTGCTGGTGTTAATGTATGGTTTATCGCGTCGCTGGGATAGAGGGAAGGGCACACCTGGTTACTTATTGCTGGGTAGCCGTATAGAAATGGAAAACTAAACATCATGGCATTTGTTTTGTGCGTGAAATTGTCTACCCCATCCATAGGCTCTAGCCCACCCATGGTTTAGAGCTTCTGTGGATTTGCGAGTCATTGGTAATATTTGTAGCTAAATAGAATTTGAAAGGTCTACACCTGCGCCCGAGTTCACCATATTCTTCTAGGGTGGACATGCTGTAAAAGGGAAAGCAGAGAACACCACGTCAAATGTCCAGGCGGTGCCATCAGAAGCAGTTAAGCGTCGCTTGGTCTTGACAACTCGTGCCCACAAGCCATCAAACGGCCCTATCGTGTACACACTCACCTGGTCAGCTTGGAGTCGCGGTAATTAACATATTTGGAACCCTTGACAGCCAGGGCGTTGATGCAGTTTCCCAGGGCCAGCAGTGAACGGTTGATGTGAGCCCCCTCTTGGAGCCGCTTCCCTTGGTTCTGCAGCATACAGAAAAGAGATGCGTCACACACACACACACACCCACACACACACACACACACACAACACACACACACACACACACACACACACACCACACACACACACACACACACACACACACACACACACACACACACACACACACACAACACACACCAACACACACACCACACACCACACACACACACCACCACACAAACACGCACACACACACACACCACACACAACACACACACACACACACACACACACACCAACACACACACACACACACACACACACACACACACACACACCACACACACCACACACCACACACACACACACACACACACACACACACACACACACACACACACACACACAGCTCAGCCGCACTGCATGCACACTCGCAGTGAAGCAGGCATTGAATGGAAAGAAGAGATATCTGGTCATATGGTAACCAGCGTGTCAGCCAAAATTTAGCTCCGACTCTCAGTTACACGTCGCGCTCAGGATGGGCTTGAAACGCTCAGGCCGAGGCCCTGTGACGAGTGATGACAGGCTGCTGAGGCCAGTGTGACGCGTGATGGTATGCGGCTGAGGCCATGTGACGCGTGATGGTAGGCTGCTGAGGCCCTGTGACGCCTCATGGTATGCGGCTGAGGCCATGTGACGCGTGATGGCAGGCTGCTGAGGCCATGTGACGCGTGATGGTAGACTGCTGAGACCCTGTCACGCGTGATGGTAGACTGCTGAGGCTATGTGACGCGTGATGGTAGGCTGCTGAGACCCTGTCACGCGTGATGGTAGGCTGCGAGTCATGCTGATGGTAGCTGCTGAGACCGCGTGATGGTAGGCTGCTGAGACCCTGTCACGCGTGATGGTAGGCTGCTGAGACCCTGTCTCGCGTGATGGTATGCGGCTGGGGCCTGCCACTAACCGACAGGTCATCGCCTTCTTCCAGAATCAGAATTCGCAGCAAGCAAGTGAACGTGTTGGTTTGTCGCTACTGCTAACGGAGTTCTCGTGGCTGCGTGCTGAAGCTACGGCAATCGCATCTGGTTTACGCCTCTCCGACACATTGCGAACAGGTGCTGCTCTGCCCAGCTGGAGCCTCTGACTCTGGTCGCCTTGCGAACAGGTGGTGCTCTGCCCAGCTGGAGCCTCTAACTCTGGTCGCCTTGCGAACAGGTGGTGTTTTTTCCACTCACAGCACGTTTGTGCCGTGTGTACTTGGATAACAGTACACGCGGGGACAAAGCGGCATCAGGCAATCCTCCAGGTTTTGAGCTTGGTAATGGTGGAGTTTATCTACTTGCCAACATTTCGTAACAAAGGATCTGACGCCTCCCATGGCAAAGATATTTACTCGATGGGTCGATTAGCTCTATAACGTCGCCAGGATTTCCGTGATCGGTGAAATCACCACGTCGTGCATGAACCTTGTATCAAGTACAAAATAGAGGAAAATCGACAAGTGTTTCCACAACTTCAAAGTGTTTGACCTACCAAAAACAGTAAGCTCTCCCTCCCTATTCCTCACATTCTGCTTCATCCTGTATCTCGCTAACCCCCCCCCCCCCCCTCCCCCTGTTTCACCGGGTCGTGCCACTGACGCCCTCGCTGGGGTGGCCCCCAGACATCAGCCACCGGGTCGGTCCCATGGCCACACCGGGTAGCAGCCCCACGAATCCCACTAAAAAAAACTGACAAAAGCTGTAATGAATGGACGTCAGCTATGAAGTGGCTAACTATCAAGTCCGGCTGGTGGTGACGATCGTTGTGGGATATGTTGGGTGATGTATGCGGTCGACTCCGACACCATATTTGCTACTTACCGCTGAACAGAGGGGAGTGCGAACAGTTGCGGCTCGAAAACGGAGGGAAGTGCGAACAGTTGCGGCGCGCAAACAGAGAGGAGTGCGAACAGTTGCGGCGCGCAAACAGAGGGGAGTGCGAACAGTTGCAGCGCGCAAACAGAGAGGAGTGCGAACAGTTGCGGCGCGCAAACAGAGGGGAGTGCGAACGGTTGCGGCGCGCAAACAGAGGGGAGTGCGAACAGTTGCGACGCGCAAACAATGCTGGATAATCGTGTGCAGAGCATGAACTCCGAACTCCTGTGTTTACTTCGAAAAGACAGCCTCGTGCAAGCACGAAACGAAACGTACCGGTACAATGTGAATAAACAAAAACTGCATTATGAGCTTAGAGTTGTTATGCTGACAGTAACCGGCCTTCAACATACCAGGAGGTACCGGTTACACGACGTTATCA